TTCCCAGAATTCCCCTATGCCAAAGAGCGAGAGTATGATAGTTGGACCCCGAGTCAGAGACCTGTGAAGGGAACTTTAGAGAAAGCCACCATTAAGGCCCGTGAAGAAAGACGAGTTGAGCTCTTGATGCCCACGAGGGTATAACGATGCTGCTTTTCTTGGCAACAGTTAGGAGATTTGCCATGGCTTCTTCCAGCAATTTTTTTTTCCAAACTAAGGGATCTCCTGGTGGCCTCCGTTCCAAAGGCTAACCGAGGTCTGTCTCTGTTTTGCCGCCCCCTGCTGCGAGTTCTGCAAACTGCACACCCATGGCCCCAAAATACACCGGGGGGGGGGGGGAAATGCATACGGCCAGAGCTTGCTGGCCACGTGGTTGCGTTTGGTGTCCTACCTCATGGCCTACACACATACACGCACACACACCCTAAAATGCATTCCCAACTCCCTTTCTTTCATGTATGTGGCCCCGATCTCCAGGCTCCTTAACTTTCCAATTAAACAGCCTAGGTTCTCTCCTGCCGGTCCTTCCTGCGAATTAACCCACATTCCTGGTTTCTCTTTTCAGGTCTTCCTGAACAGTACTACAGCCTCACCTGGTTCCTTAGTCCAATCCTGGGCCTGATCTTTACCCCCTTAATTGGTTCAGCCAGCGACCGCTGCACCCTCAGCTGGGGCCGCCGCCGGCCGTTTATCCTCGCCCTTTGCATTGGGGTCCTGATTGGCGTTGCCCTTTTCTTAAACGGATCCGTTATTGGTAAGTGATGCCTACGGCCTTCGGAGTAAGTCTCTTGGGGCAGTGGGACCCTAACCCTACCGTGTTTCCTCCTAAAGTAATAATAATAATAATAGTAATAATAATAATAATAACAACAACAACATTGGAAGGGATCTTGGAGGTCATCTAGTCCAACCCCCTGCTTAGGCAGGAAACCCTATACCAGGGATAGGCAACCTCGGCTCTTTTATGACTCATGGACTTCAACTCCCAGAATTCCTGAGCCAGCCACGCTGAGGGGAAAGGGAGAGGTTTCCAAGCTGAGCCATGCTGGCTCAGGAATTCTGGGAGTTGAAGTCCACGAGTCATAAAGCGGCCTAGGCCTATACCAGGGGTAGGCCACCTTGGCTCTTTTATGACTCATGGACTTCAACTCCCAGAATTCCTGAGCCAGCCATGCTGAGGGGAAAGGGAGAGGTTTCCAAGCTGAGCCGTGCTGGCTGAGGAATTCTGGGAGTTGAAGTCCACGAGTCATAAAAGAGCCGAGGTTGCCTACCCCTGACCTAGACCAACCGGAAAGATAAGCCCTAGCGTGATTTTTTTTTCCAGGATGCTCATAATATAAGCCCCACCTCCAAAATAAGCCCCAGTTAAGATCGTCAGCCAGACGGACCCATTTAGTACCGTATTTCCCCAAATGTAAGCCCTAACCGGAAAAATAAACCCTAATGCGCCTTTTGGAGCAAAAATTAATATAAGACCCAGTCTTGTTTTCGGGGAAACGCAGTAGATGGCTGGAAGGGAAAGGGACAGAGGGACTTAAGTGTTCCCCCCCCCCCAGAAGTGGACATCTTCAGATTTGGAATCTGTGGATTTGGAATCTACTTCACAGGTGGTCCTCGACTTAACGACCACGGAATTGCGCCCCAAATTTAGGTTGCTAAGCGGAAACCATTGTTAAGTGAGTTTGGGCCCCATTTTACGACTTTTCTCGCCAGCTTTGCGGAGAGAAACGCTGCGGTTTTTCCTCACTGACTTCGCTTGTCAGAAGGTCGCAAAAGGGGATCACGTGACACACACACACATCGGTACACTGCAACCGTCATAAATATGAACCCCTTGTCAAGTGTCCAAATGTAAATCAGGTGACCATGGGGGTGCTACAACGGTTGTAAGTGTGAGAAATGGTCGTAAGGCATTTCTTTCACTGCTGTTGTAACGTTGAACGGTCAAGGGCTGCCTGTGTAAGTTCTCCTGCTTGAGCAGGGGGTTGGACTAGAAGACCTCCAAGGTCCCCTTCCAGTAACTAACTAACTAGCTCTTCAGCTGCCTGTGATGAATGAACCACGATGATGGAGCCCTTACCGGCAGCCTTGCTTTCTGCCACGTTTACCTCAAGGGCAGCGCATTGTGTTCACAAGTACACCTTCCCATCAGTACAATTGTGTTGTAGCACAATTATCAGCAGAAGCCGGGATGAATGAGGCAGCCCTTGGCATGGGAATCCACTAGGAACTTTTTCACAGGGAAACGGTTCCTGTTGTTTTCTGATTTCCCTTTAATGCATATCTAGCAAAGACATCCTGTTTCCAGCGTTATTTGAAAGGAGAGAGAGAGAGACGACGACGACAACAACAAAAAAAACAAAACCCAGATATTTTTTTTCCCCTTCTCTGTTCTCTGAGTGTGGAAGGACAAAAAAGATCGTAACGCGATCTGAAAGTTGTTTATTGAATGTCTAAATGGAGAAGAATATATATATATATATATATTTTCCCTTATCCCTCTCGACAAAAAATAATAATAAAATAAAACAATATTGTGAGGAAACAATCGAAGCTGGGAATTTTACTATCTTTAGGAACTGAGCCTGAGGATCGGTGCCACGGCAGTATTTCATTCGGAGCAAGCTGACGCCACCCCCCTTCGGTGCCACGATGCTGGAGTTCCTTGGAGGGGAGGTGTTATGTTGTCCCAAAGGTGCTTTTTCAGGAGGCAACTGGACTTAATAATAATAATAATAATAATAATAATAATAATAATAATAATAATAATAATAATAATAATAATAATAATAATAATAATAAAGTTGGAAGGGACCTTGGAGGTCATCTAGTCCAACCACCTGCTCAGGCAGGAAACCCTACACCATTTCGGACAAATGGCTGTCCAGTCTCTTCTTAAAAACTTCCAGTGTTGGAGCATTCACCGCTTCTGGAGGCAGGTTGTTCCACTGGTTAATTGTTCTGACTGTCAGGAAGTTTCTCCTTAGTTCTAGGTTGTTTCTCTCCTTGATGAGTTTCCATCCGTTGTTTCTTGTCCTGCCTTCAGGCGCTTTGGAGAATAATAATAATAATACTAATGATAAAGTTGGAAGGGACCTTGGAGGTCATCTAGTCCAACCCCCTCTTCAGGCAGGAAACCCTATACCATTTTGGACAAATGGCTGTCCAGTCTCTTCTTAAAAACTTCCAGTGTTGGAGCATTCACCGCTTCTGAAGGCAGGTGGTTCCACTGGTTAATTGTTCTGACTGTCAGGAAGTTTCTCCTTAGTTCTAGGTTGCTTCTCTCCTTGCTTAGTTTCCACCCGTTGTTTTGCTTCTCATCCAAGAAGCTTCCTCAGCTCTGACTGGATGGTGGGGAAATGGAAGGATTTATACTCCTTGCAGACAGCTGGTCATTTGCATCCTTTTAGAGAGTCGTTGAGGCCACTTGGAGGTTTTTACCTGTGTCCTCAGGGTCACCTGAGTGGTGCAAATGGGTGTGGAGCCTTCTTGGCTGCTGGATGTCTTCTGCCCTGGGTTCCTTCATGGCTGAAGATGGGCGCAGGCTGTTGGGGATGTGTCTGTGCTGTCTGCATCTCAAACTGAAGCGCAAACGGTTCCTCTAGTCTGCAATGTTTTCTGGAAATCCGTTCATCCTCCCGCACCATTTGAAAAGGGGTCCATCCGTCCCAAAGTCCATGGCTAAATGTCTATGGAGATTCTCCGTCACCCAGGTCATGGTTGTCCCAAATGTGCTTTTCCAGGAGGCAACTGGACTTTCTTGTTTTTCTTTGAAGACCTGTCGCTTCCCATCCAGGAAGCTTCTTCAGCTCTGACTGGATATTGGGGAATGGAAGGATTTATACTCCTTGCAGACAGCTGGTCATTTATCTTCTTTCAGAGAGTTGTTGAGGCCACTTGGAGGTTGTTACGGTTACCTGTGTCCTCAGGGTCACCTGAGTGGTGCAAATGGATGTGGAGCCTTCTTGGGACTGCTGAAAGGACCATGTTGTAGACTGGAGATGGACAATGTTGTATTCCTCCCTCTCTGTTGAGAGAGGGCTGTTCTAGTTTAATGAAGAGAAGGACTAAGGGGGGACATGATAGGAGCCTTCCAATATCTCAGGGGCTGCCCCAAAGAAGAGGGAGTCAATCTATTCTCCAAAGCGCCTGAAGCCAGGACAAGAAGCAACGGGTGGAAACTAACCAAAGAGAGAAGCAACCTAGAACTAAGGAGAAACTTCCTGACAGTGAGAACAATTAACCAGTGGAACAACCTGCCTCCAGAAGCGGTGAATGCTCCAAGACTGGAAGTTTTTAAGAAGAGGCTGGACAGCCATTTGTCCGAAATGGTATAGGGTTTCCTGCCTGAGCAGGGGGTTGGACTAGATGACCTCCAAGGTCCCTTCCAACTTTATTATTATTATTATTAATTTTTCAGGAGGCAACTGGACTTCCTTGTTTGTTTCTCACCTTCTTGGATGAGAAGCAAAAGGTCTTCCAGGAAAAACCAAGACAGTCTTGAAAAAGCATCTTTGGGACAACCACGATCTGGATGACCTGAGAATCTCCCTCGACGTGCGTTATGTTGTAGCTCCTAATTTCGCCATTTCCTAAGAGCTTTTAAAAGGGAAACACCTTCGACGCTCACAGCGGTTGTATCCCCAGGCTAACTACAGGTAGTCCTTGACCTTCAGCCACAACTGAGCCCCAAATTTCCGTTGCTAAACAAGACACTTTTTAAGGGAGGCTCGACCCATTTCACCATCTCCCTTTCCACAGTTAAGCGAATCACCCCAGTTGTGAAGTTAGTCACGCCAGTTGTGAAGTGAATCTGGCTTCCCCTATGGACTTTGCTTGCCAGAAGGTCGCCAAAGGGGATCCCATGATCCCGGGACACCCTGCAATCGTCATAAATTTGAATCAGTTGCCAAGCGTCGGAATTTTGATCACACAGGGAGGCTGCAGCGGTCGTAAGGGTGAAAAACGGTCCTATGTCGCTTTTTTTTTCCAGTTGTCACTTCGAACAGTCACTAAGTGGGTTGTTGTAAGCCAAGGACGACCTGTACGACTTCATCTGGTGTCCCAGATGGTTCTGCTCCATCTCCCACAATCCCTGGGACCGATGATCGTTCTGACCAGGTTTTATTTCAGAAGAAGGTCAAAATATCTGGAAGACACAGCAGTCCTATTAGGCCAGGGGTCTCTAAATGTGTCAACCTGAAGACTGGTGGACTTCAACTCCCAAAATTCCCTAGCCGGGCATGGCCGGCTATGGAATTCTGGGAGTTGAAGTCCACAAGTCTTAAGAGTTGCCACATTTGGAGAGCCGGGCGTTAGACTAATGCAGATTAACCAGCAAAGGTTCCCATGGCGAGCTTGAATTTTTAACTCCTTTTGCTGGAATTCAAAACGAAGTCTTCCTTCTTTGAAAACATTTCCAGGGCTGATCCGTTCTGTAGCATCTCCCAGTTTTTTGACACTACCGGACTCAAGTCACGCAAGCTTTTCAACTCTTAATCTGGGTCTTTCTTTCTTCCTTCCTTCCTTCCTTCCTTCCTTCCTTCCTTCCTTCCTTCCTTCTTCCTCCCTCCCTTGCTCGCTCACTCCCTCCCTCCCTTCTTCCATCTTTTCCATTCACCCCGTTCTTCCTTCTGCCCTATCATCCATCCATCATTCCATTCACCAGTCCACCCATCCACCAGTTTCCTTCCTTCCTTCTTTCCTCCTTCCCTCCCTCTTACCCATTCAGCCCTTTCTTCCTTCGTCCTTATATACATCCATCGTTCTATTCACCGATCAACCCATCCACCAATTTCTTTCCTCCCTCCCTCCCTTCTTCCATCTTTTCCATTCACCCCATTCTTCCTTCCTCCCTATCATCCATCCATCATTCCATTCACCAATCTACCCATTCACCAATTTATTCCTTCCCTCTCTCCCTTCCTCCCTCCCTTTCTCTCCTTCCTTCCTCCCTCCCTTTCTCTCCTTCCTTCCTTCCTTCCTTCCTTCCTCCTCCCTCCCTCCCTCCCTCCCTTCTTCCATCTTTTCCATTCACCCCATTCTTCCTCCCTATCATCCATCCATCATTCCATTCACCAATCTACCCATCCACCAATTTATTCCTTCCCTCTCTCCCTTCCTCCCTCCCTCCCTTTCTCTCCTTCCTTCCTTCCTTCCTTCCCCCTCCCTCCCTCCCTTCTTCCATCTTTTCCATTCACCCATTCTTCCTTCCTCCCTATCATCCATCCATCATTCCATTCACCAATCCACCCATCCACCAATTTATTTCCTTCTTCCCTCCTTCCCTGTTTCTCCCTCCCTCTCTCCCTTCCTTCCTCCCTCCCTTTCTCTCCTTCCTTCCTTCCTTCCTTCCTTCTGCTTTCCCCCCCCCAAAAAACCCCCCTTGCCTCCTCCTGGAATCTGTCTCACAAAAACCCGCTCACCCTCTTTCTCTTCTTCTGCCGCAGGTCTTGCTATCGGAGATGTCCCGGACAAACAGCCCATCGGCATCGTCCTCACCGTGCTCGGCGTGGTGGTGCTGGACTTCTCCGCTGACGCGACCGAGGGGCCCATCCGCGCCTATTTGCTGGACGTGGTGGACAGCGAAGAGCAGGATATGGCCCTCAACATCCATGCTTTTTCAGCCGGTACGATGTTTCCGTTATTCCTCCTTTTTTAACGCTGCAGTTCTATACATTCAGAATAACGTTGCTCACATCTTTGTTGTGAAAGCTTGGGGGAAAAAACACGAGTCCCTCTGAAAGACGGGAAGCAAAACTGAATTTGGGCATTTTTTTTCTTTTCTTTTTCTTTTTTTCTTTCTCTTTTTTTTGAAACCACGTGTTTATTTAAACTTTTTAAAGACACCTGTCATAATATCACTGGGATGGATCAGTCCCTTCTGTTCTCTGGCTGTTAGTCAGTTTGAAGGCTTCCATAAAACAGATCTATCAAGCCCCCATTTTGAAGACTTTAATGATACTATTCTGATTTCTTTTCTTTTTTTTTTTTAAAGAGGACGCAAAGAACAGGCTGCTAACAATGGCTGTTTTGTAGCCAGCTTTCCAGACTGAAGATTGTGTTTTATGCCTCTCATAAACCCAGCCCCTGGATGTTCATCAGTTTTTGTAGACAGTTGTTTGGATTTATTCAAATGCAGCCTAGCGGTGCAATTCTATCGTGTAGTTGAATGAATCCTCCCAACTTTTTATAAAATAGTGTTCCAGTATCTGAGGGGCTGCCACAAGGCAGAGGGAGTCAGGTTGTTCACCAGAGCACCAGAGAGAAGGATGAGAAACAATGGTTGGAAACTGACCGAAGAGACAAACTACGGTACTTGGAATTAAAGAGAAACTTCCTGACAGTGAGGTCAATTAACCAATGGAACAGCTTGCCTCCAGAAATTGTGGGCGCTCCATCATTGGAGGTTTTTAAGAAGAGGCTAGACAGTCACCTGTCTGAGACGGTATAGGTTCTCCTGCTTGAGCAGGGGGCTGGATTAGAAGACCTCCAAGGTCCCTTCCAGCTCTATTCTATTCTAGTGCTTACCCTCTTGACATTTTTTGACCACCTCCTCCAGGAGGTTTAATGATGCTGGAGACGGTTTGAGTCCTAGCACTGCGGGGCAGGGTGAGTTCCCGTCGCTCCTCTCAGCTTCTGTCCACCTAACCCAGGGGTAGGCAACCTTTGCCCTTTTATGACTCATGGACTTCAACTCCCAGAATTCCTGAGCCAGCCATGCTGAGGGGAAAGGGAGAGATTTCCAAGCTGAGCCATGGTGGCTCAGGAATTCTGGGAGTTGAAGTCCACGAGTCATAAAACGGCCAAGGTTGCCTACCCCTGACCTAGATGATAGATAGATAGATAGATAGATAGATAGATAGATAGATAGATAGATAGATAGATAGATAGATAGATAGATAGATAGATACATAGATAGATACATAGATAGATACATAGATACATAGATACATAGAGATGAGATAGAGATAGAGATAGAGATAGAGATAGAGATAGATGACAGAGATAGATAGATAGATAGATAGATAGATAGATAGACAGACAGACAGACGGGTAGGCAACCTTTGCCCTTTTATGACTCATGGACTTCAACTCCCAGAATTCCTGAGCCAGCCATGCTGAGGGGAAAGGGAGAGATTTCCAAGCTGAGCCATGCTGGCTCAGGAATTCTGGGAGCTGAAGTCCACGAGTCACAAAAGAGCCAAGGTGGCCTACCCCTGACCTGACCGTTCGAAAGCTTGTTCTGTGCGAGTAGATAAATGGGTACCACTTCTGTGGGGAGATGAGTTCAGGCGTGCAGATTCTTGCCAGCTCTGAACCTTCCTGGCTACGGCGCCCATTTGCAAGATGGCTCCGAGGAAGGGGAGGAGCCTCGGATGACGCTGCTCGTCTTTCTCTCTGGTGCAAAGCCAGCTCGCCCTCTGGTGGCGTGCCTTGGTAAGCATGCAAATGTTGCCTAAAACAGGGGTCTCCAACCCCCGGTCCGTGGACCACTACCAGGCCGCGGCATGCCAGCAACCAGTCCGCACAAACAAGCAAAGTCCCATCCGCGGGATGCAGGCAGCACACAAAATCACACCCCCTCCGGTCCACGGAAAAACCTCTCTCCACGGAACCGGTCCCTGGTCCACAAAAGGTTGGGGACCTCTGGCCTAGCACAGAGCTGATAACTTGACGGCGAAACTATTACTCTGCAATAGCAAGGTCGTCTTTGGTTAAGGTAACAAAGCCGTACAATAACAACAGCAACAATCATAATAATAATAACCATCTCCTCTTTGCTTGGGATGGTTGGAAGAGGAATCTTTAGCAAGAGGGAAGTTAGTTCCTAATACTTTACAAATGCACTTTAAAAAAAATTGCATCCCTCAGTTGCATTCTCTTTTAAAAACTTTAAAACTAGCGGAGAAGTCCCCAGAGGCTGCAGCCTAATCTTGTAACTGGAGTTGGATGGTGGTCAGCCAAAGATTTGTTGGTGATGCGTATTTGAAGCACGCTTGCCTCACTGCAGCAAAGTTGGGCGCATGTTTGCAATTCCCTCTGGGGTGATGATCCGGTCCCCCAACTAAATATGGGTGCAGCTTTGGGAGGAAGACCTTCTGATTATTGCCAGAAATCAGGAGGAGCTGCAGAAGAGCTAAACCAGGGGTCCCCAAATTTGGCAACTTTAAGACATGTGGACTTCAACTCCCAGAATTCCTCAGCCGGCCATCTTGACTTTTTGTGTTCCTTCCCAGCCTTCAACTGCATGTGACTCAAAATTAAACCAGCATTGATGTTTGGTTTTGTTTTACCCCAAAGATGCTTCAATCAGGGCAGGGATCCCCAACCTTGGCCACTTTAAGACTTGTGGACTTCAACTCTGGCTGGGGAATTCTGGGAGTTGAAATCCACAAGTTTTAAAATGGCCACGTTTGGAGATCCCTGGACTAAACCATTGAACATAGCATGAATAACCCAAGTATGGGAACTACAAAGTCTATGCTGGCTGGGCCTCCTGGAGGTAGTAGTTATAGCTCATCTGGGCATCATCAGATTGGGAGAAGGGTGGTGTGCACCTGGTTGTGCTTACAATAAGGAGTCCTTGTTATTCTCTAAGTACTAGCACTGATGATGTTACCTAGCTTGGTAATGAAACATCTGCAGCAGGGGTCTTCAAACTTGGCTCTTGTATGACTTGTGGACTTCAACTCCCAGAATTCCTCAGCCAGGCACACGTGCCTGGCTGAGGAATTCTGGGAGTTGAAGTCCACAAGTCATAAAGGGGCCAAGTTTGAAGACCCCCTGGTCTGCAAGAAAACAACCAAGCTCAGAGAACACCAAGGACCCCTCATTTCCGCCCCGAGCTACAAATGTTCTCCTTTATGAATGCTTACAATGTTCAGATCCACCACACTGGACACAAGAAAAGTCCAGGTGAAAATCCTTTGACGTTCCTCAAGGAACTTTATTCTTCTTTTTCCCCCACAATCCACCACTCTTTGGAGGGGAGGAGCTTGTTCCCACCTGTGCAGTTCTTCCAGTGGCGGGATTCAAATATGTGAACAACCAGTTCTCTGTGCGTGGATGCCGCTTCCGGAAGTCCGTTCTGGGCCTGGGCAACAAAAAATTAGCTACCGGTTCCGCCGAAGTGGTGCGAACCGGCTGAATCCCACCACTGGATGGATGGATGGATGGATGGATGGATGGATAGATGATAGATAGATGATAGATAGATAGATAGATAGATAGATAGATAGATAGATAGATAGATAGATAGATAGATAGATAGATAGATAGATAGATAGATAGATAGATAGATAGATGATAGATAGATAGATAGATGAGAGAGGGGGTGAGAGAGATGGAGAGAGGGGGGAGAGAGAGAGATGGAGAGAGGGGGGAGAGAGAAAGAGAGAGATGGAGAGAGAGAGAGAGATGGAGAGAGAGATGGAGACAGATAGATATAGACAGACAGACAGACAGACAGACAGATAAACAGACAGATGACAGACATAGATAGACAGACAGACAGACAGACAGACAGACAGACAGATAGATAGATGATAGATAGATGACAGGCAGACAGACCAGACCTAGATGATTGATTCAGTGGTGGGATTCAGATGTGTGAAAAACCGGTTCTCTGTGTGGATGCCACTTCCGGAAGTCCATTCTGGGCCTGGGCAACAAAAAATTAGCTGCCGGTTCCACCGAAGTGGTGCGAACCGGATGAATCCCACCGCTGGGTTCTTCCCCTCCTTCACAGTGCAGCCATTTTGTACCTTTGTCCTTCTCATCTTCATCCGTAGGCCTGGGAGGAGCCATTGGCTACATGCTGGGCGGCCTCAACTGGATGCACACCGTCTTAGGCAGCATCTTCAAATCCCAAGAGCAGGTCCTCTTCTTCTTTGCCGCCATTATCTTTTCCGTTTCCGTCGTCCTCCACCTGTGCAGCATCGAAGAAGAGCAATACAATCCTCAGCAGGACCGGATGGATGACGAGGCGGAGACCCTGTCAAGTGTCAAGCTGAGCGGCAGCCTCCCTCCCTTCAACCGTCTCAACGTCATCAACGAGGAGGACCCTTACGGGAACTCCCTCTTCCCCGACGAGGTCCAGTCCGAACATGACCTCAACATGGAGTTCCTTGAGGTGGACATTGTCCGGAGTAAGAGCGATTCGGTCCTGCACATGCCGGATGCCACCCTCGACATGGAATCGGAGCTCCTCTTCCTTCACGAAATTGAACCTTCCATTTTTCAGGATTCGTCCTACCCGGCGACGCCGCGCAGCACCAGCCAAGAGCTCATGAAGTCCAAATTCAACCGCTTGTCCGCTTTCCTCAGGGAGAACGAGAAGGAGGAGGAGATGTTACTTGAGAACCCCTTGACCGAGGCCAAAGTCCCCAACGGGAACGGCTCCCTACCAAAAGATCTCCTGAATGGACATGTCCGGGTGGGCATAAAGCCGTCGTGCACCTCAAACTCCATGCGACGGCGACGGCACATGTTCTACCGCCAGCCTTCTAACACCTTCTCCTACTACGGGAAGATCGGGTCCCACCATTACCGGTTCCGGCGGGCCAACGCCGTGGTCTTGATCAAGTCCTCTCGGAGCATGAACGACATCTACGACATGCAGAAGAGGCAGCGGCAGAGGTGCCGGCACCGGAATCCGAGCGGCGCCACCAACTCCAGCGGAGACACGGAGAGCGAGGAAGGCGAAACGGAAACCACCGTGAGACTCTTGTGGTTGTCCATGCTGAAGATGCCCAAAGAGCTGCTGCGGCTTTGTGTTTGTCACCTCTTGACCTGGTTTTCCATCATTGCCGAAGCTGTGTTCTACACCGACTTCATGGGGCAGGTCATCTTCCACGGCGATCCCAAGGTGAGCCCAGCACGAGTGTCACCAGGGGCTGTTGCACTCTCCTCTCTCTCTCTCTCTCCCTCCCTCCCTCCCTTTCTCTCTGTGTCTCTGTGTCAGTCTCTCTCTGTCTTTCTCTCTATGTGTATGTGTGTCTGTCTCTCCCTCCCTCTCCCTCTGTCTATCTCTGTCTCTGTGTGTGTGTGTGTCTCTCTCTGTCTCTCTCTCTCTCTCTCTGTGTCTCTCTCTGCCTCTGTGTCTCTCTCTCTGCCTCTGTGTGTGTGTCTCTCTCTGTGTGTCTCTCTCTCTGCCTCTGTTTCTCTCTCTGTATGTCTCTCTGTGTCTCTGTGTGTGTCTCTCTCTGTCTCTGTGTGTGTGTGTTTGTCTGTCTCTCTCTCTCTCTGTGTGTGTCTCGCTGTCTCTCTGTGTGTGTCTCTGTCTCTCTGTATGTCTCTCTCTGTCTCTCTCTCTGTGTCTCTGTGTGTGTCTCTCTCTTCTCTCTGTGTGTGTCTCTGTCTCTCTGTGTCTCTGTCTCTCTGTCTCTCTGTGTGTGTCTCTCTCACACACACACATAGAGGCAGAGGTCCCATTAATAAGGTCTTCTCTGCTCTCATTCACATTGGGTACCGCCTTACAAACAGATTCAGTCCCAGTAGAAATTTGTAAAGGCAACACGACATTGCACGTAGGTTATTCAGTCTTGTGTAACATCCTGTGCCTAGTTGTCTGTGATGAGTGGAGAGTAACTTCTAGGCAACCAGGGAGAAAGCATTCATTACAAAATGTAATTATTATTTTTTAACATTTGGGATGTACTGTAAAGTTGACTTGATAGACCCTGTTTACCTTTTGGTATCTGTAAGTTAGTTTGAGAACCTTTATATTCAGAGCAAACTATGAATAGCCTTCAAGAGCGGAAGGAAGACGTAAAGATGCATGAGGTCTTCGCTGCTCTCTGAGCTTGGTGGTTTTCTTGCAGATGTTTCATTACCAAACTAGCTAACATCAACAGGGCTGATGATTACTGATGATGTTATCTAATTAGGTAATAAAATGTCCAGAAGAAAACCACCAAACACAGAGAGCACCAAGGACCCCATAAACCTCCTTCTCCTCCTCCGTCTCTTCCTCCTCTCCGCAAACTCACTCCCTTCTAGCACTGATGATGTTACCTAGTTGGATAATGAAACATCTGCAAGAAAACAACAAAGCTCAGAGAAAATCAAGGACCCCATAGTCGTCATCTCCTCCTCCTCCTCCTCCTCCTCCTCCTCCTCCTCCTCTTCCTCCTCCTCCTCCTCCTTCTCTTTGCAGACCCCACTCCCTTCTAGCACTGATGATGTTACCTAGTTGGATAATGAAACATCTGCACGAAAACAACAAAGCTCAGAGAAGATCAAGACCCCACAGCTCAGCTCTCCGTGAGCTGTGAATACTCTTCTTTAATTTTTTTTAAAGAAGTGGAGCTGGAAAGTTGGCAGGGACGATGGTCCACCGTGTCTTGCAAGCCTTCTTTCTGCCTTTGATCAAAGCCTCTTTGTTTCCCCAACAGGCCCCTTCTAATTCTACCGAACTGCAGGACTACAGTGCTGGCGTCCAGATGGGCTGCTGGGGGTTGGTCATCTATGCTGCTACTGCTGCTGTTTGTTCAGGTGAGAGGCTCTGTGCTATCATCCTGGCTTAAAGTTGGGTGAATGGTAGCATAATTGAGAAGAGGAA